CAAATGACCATTTCTCACATGTGATAAATTCTACGCAGAGCGCTTCTTTTTCTCAAAAATAATGCGAAAAAGCGGAATTTAGTGCATAATTATAGAAAACAAGCTCTAATTATATTTCTTCCGCCAAGTACGACAATTGGTGAAGCGTATGAAGAATTGGTTTTTGAAATTCCAACAATAGCAGTTAGTCGATCGAAGTTTTACTTGCTTTGTCCGAAAAATGTCAAGAAGCTTTGTGCACATGATGTATGCGTATGCATACAGCACGAGAATATTTCATTTTTACTTCAGGTAAAATCGAATATTATTAAAGAAATATTTGATTCATCTACATATTTATATAGGCTCTGTCAAAAAATGTTGGATCATTTGTCACCTGTTCTACTCTAATTCAAATGACTGTTTGTAATGGAGATGATTTTGCGTGCATTAATGGTGAATGTTCAAGATGTGGTGAGTAATCTTTTGCATTAAATACTTCCATTATTTATGAAATATTAATCTAATAATCATTATCCTTAAAATTAGGAAATGTTTCTCCATCAGCTATATTAACAAGATCTTTCAATGGTAATATGGTTGAAACAGTAGAGTATATGATATGCTATGGAAACGAACCGATAATAAAGTTCGTGTTATCAATATTCTTATTCACTTATTAAACGAATGAATTTTTCCGGTTGATATTCATCGTGTAGCATCGACAGTTGACGAGTTACTGGTTGAAATAGATGATCGTTGGTCATCGTTCCTATTACATCAATACATTAATCATCAACAAAAGATGTTTATTCAACAAATCAAAGAAAATACAAGTGCGCAAACAGCCATTATTACTATGGATTTTGCAGAAAATTATTCAATACCGGTCCAAAGAGAGACTCAATCTAAACATTGAAATGCGATTCAAGTGACAATCTTTACAATTCACATAAAATTCAAAGATGGTTTTTGCAATGCAGCAATTATATCAAATTATATGATTCATGATACTGCCTTTGTGTACAATGCACAGCAGTTGATTGTTGATTTTATAAAAAAGAATATGAGTAGTGTCGAAGAAATTTATTATGTTAGTGATAATTGCTCGAGTCATTTCAAAAACAATAATTCGATGTTTAATTTAACATGGCATCAAAATGATTTTGGAATAAAAGCTTATTGGATATATACAGCTGCTTGTCATGGAAGAAGCGCCTGCGATGGCATTGGAGCTACACTCAAATCTACGGCCACTCGATATTTGCTATCTAAAGGACCATCGGCAGCAATTTTGAGTGCATATGAATTTTTTCAATTTTGCGAAAAGCGATTTAGTCACCAACAAAAAGAAAAACCACCTTCTGCCACTTCGACAGTATCTAATCTCGAGCAATTTCGAACTTGTGAAGTAAACTGACAAAATATTTTGCACGTTAATAAAATCAATTTTATCACGTTTTCATAATCGTAGGTATGGTATTTAGACAAACAATCAATCGAAGATATTTATTCAAAAGTATTAAAGAAACGGTGGAGTCGATTACATACTGCTATTCCTGGTCTTCGTCAATTTCATCATTTCGAACCGATTACAATAGATGAAGTGAAATGCAAAATCGTTTCGAATCTATCAACGTCAACATCATTCAAAATGTTGCAGTTTAGCAAAACGAAAACAATCACTCCTATTTATTCGATACATGATTTAAAAGCTGGTGACTATGGTGTTGTTGTTTACAATGGTAAATGGTGGTTAACCAAAATCAATAGTTTCGATAAGTCTTTAGGGAGCGTTGAAGCTTCTATATGTACACAAGCTGGATCAAGAATAATATTTTCATCCATGATGACACCAAGAATAATCAATCCAACAGATGTTATTTGTGTACTCAATTCATTACCGAAAACGACACCAAGAACTATTTCCATTACAATTTTTCAATTGAACGACATTGAAACACTTTACGAAGATAGTCATCAATGAGATTAGATATAATCCTTTACGGTATCATTTTCACATGACTTTAAGTTCATACTTAATATTTTCTCTCATTTTTCTAACACCTTTTTTCTTTTCTCCTATATTTGCTATTCCATTATCTGCACTAATAAACAGCATCTAATTCTGACTATAGACTAAAGTTTTTCCGCAGAAAAGACTTCTGCGTAGAGGAATAAAAACGACACTAATCAATACTAAAAACATCATACATAATGCTTTACAATTTTCCTATACCATGTGCGAAATCTTAACAACGATAAACAGCGCTTTCTTATTAGGGTCTACTAGCAATACTAATCTGAAGTTCCTAGAAAACGTTGCATATCTTCATTGGGCGAAACATAAAGAGTAGCAGCATATTTATAATCAGCGTGAAAATTTACATAGGAAGTGATCTTTTCGCTGAAAACAATCCTTATGATATAGTATTGACAATAGTTATAACAATGCATTTTTTTTACAACTTTGGAGTCGCTTTTCTCAGTCAAATTGCATTGACCAAAAACGAAAATTTCAGGAATGGTAGAGCTAGGTGTGCTGATGAAGTTCCACTATAGGACAGGTTTTGGGAATCCCACAGTCGTTCGTGAGGGGGGTTCAAAGTTGAGAAAAAATCGAAAGTAGGGCTCAAAGATGGCTTTGCCATTTGGTTCAGAAACAAGCTGGAGACCTGCGGATTTCAGCATTAGATAGAGGACAACTAGACGATTCAAGAGCACTAATAAAAGTTAAATTTGATTTGGGCTTCATAGAGATACTTGAGCCCAAAAAACGCGAAAAATTAGGATTTCCTATACCAATTTCCCAAAAACAGAACACGGGGGGAAAAAACGTCCACTACGAAAAATGATCAACTCAACGAGTAGTATCTATGGTAGAATTTTCAGACTTCTATCATTTGAAATAGAAAAGCTAGCCATGGTCCAGTTTTGCTAGGAAAAACTACCTTGGCCCCCTCCTTCGGACCCTTTCCCAAGGTTTTAAAATATTTTTGCCCCTACAGCTATGCTTAAGGTTACTAGTCCTACAAATTCAGAAAGTTTCATTCCATTCGGTTAAAGTCGATGTAATTATGGTACGCTCTCGAAAGAATCACTCAGCATCCAGCTAGGTCTACACTGCAAAATACATCAAGAGTAATCTGTGGTGATGAAAAATTAGTGGAATCTTCACCAGATTCTGAAGAAAACGGTCGTTTCTAGTCAGAAACCTGAGATTTTCAAAAAATTCCGAGATTAACTTAGCTTCATCAGAAGGGTATCTCGAATCTCTTGGCTAGCCTACAAAGAACTGAAAATGGCAAAATTCGATACTTATGCCTTTAAAAACAAGATTTACTTGGAATAACCGCCTTGAAGAAATCAGCGGAATAATAGAGAAGGCAAAAGTAGAGAAAAACTTCGTCTCTAAGACTTCAGTTTTTCACTACCGATATCGTTTACTGAATCTGTGGTAAAAATTTCCCAACTACCGGACTCATTTTGGCTGAGATATCCGAGAAACAACTTGCGTTCTTTGACGCAGAAAACCTTTTACTAGACTTTGCGCTATAATGCGCGTGCAAGACAAACACGTCTAATTTCAAAAGATTAAATATTAAAATAATAGAAGATCTTTACCTTTCAACTACTTCTTATCTTTCTCACTTTTTTTGAGGATGATCATCGTTGATTAGAGCGTAATGAACTGCAGTTGCCGTATGAGGACAAATAAGATGTTTCGATATATTGAGACCTATTGTACTAGTTGAATTTTTAATTGCCAACGTTGAGATAAAGATATAAAATTAATTCTTTACGTTCTATGATTACTTTCACGTTTAGGACTTATTTGGAAACGTTGATGAAGAACAGATAGTCCTGACTTTTCTGAACATATTTTGTTACAAACATTTGCCTTGATTTTGTACTTCGGGTAGCGCCCACATCTTTTTCTGACTTTACTTAAAAAGTCCATGTATTTGTATGGACGTGTTCTATTTAGGAATAGAAAATGCACGGTGTGTTCTAATTTGGAACGGGAAAAAACGTCCACTACGAA